AGGGAGGGAGGGAGGGAGGGAGGGAGGGAGGGAGGGAGGGAGGGAGGGAGGGAGGGAGAGGTGGAAGGAAGGAAGGAAGGAAGGAAGGAAGGAAGGAAGGAAGGAAGGAAGGAAGGAAGGAAAGAAGGAAGGAAGGAAGGACGGACCAAGGGCCTCCCTTCCCATTAATGTCAGATAAGGCCCCTTCAGCTTCCTCAGTCCTTCCCCTAACTCCTCCAATGAGGTCCCTGTGCTGAGTCCGATGGTCGGTTTCTTTATGTAGCATTGTACCAAAGTGCAGCTGAAGCTGAAGGCCCGCGGCCACGAGGGCTCTGCGGCCTCTGTAAGAACCAGGCATCGGCAGGAATGAGTAAGGCAGAGAGCTATGGCTTTGGGGTACTTGGCTGTGACTTGGGCTTGGTGGGGGAATTAAAGTAAGCGAACTAGGTCAGGAGCCACTGTGGCATCCTCGTGCGCCCCTCCCCCACCAGCCCATGGATCGCTGAGAATATCTGAAAGACTATCTTGTGGTACCAAACACAGTAATCTTCTGAGCAGGCTCTTCATGAACAAGAAAACATTATTCCTAAGACTGGCCTCACAGACTTGACAGCCTGCCTTCAATTTGAACAAGTGTGTCTAAATCAACTCATTCCATCACTGTCTTGGCCCTAGGCTCTGCCTCTACCCTCCTGTGAGTTTCTAATTTCTAGAGACAGGAGGAGCAGGAGAATTGTGCTTATTTCTCACCTGAGATTTCTAGAATAAATTTTCTAAGGAAAAAAAAATCTGTACCTTTCTAAAACAAACACATGGAAATCCTCAAATAGACCTAAATGAAAGATATTTTACAACAATTATATTCAAAGACAACTTGCAAGAGGGTAGAATCCAGGTATATATTTGGTGCAATGATTTTGTGTTGTTTTAAGTATAACTGTGTCTTGTATGACTGTTTTGTAATCCCTTCCACCCCATCCCTCTACAGACCACTGGTCAAGAGTTCTCCAATGTTTGAAAGACCTCAAGGAAAACAAGACTTCAGTCAATGGGAAAAGTAATGCAATAATCGGACTTTTCAGTAAATTACGTACCTTCCTGAACTGCACCATTGAAAGAAGAAAACCACCTTTTGGGCCTCAGTGATTCACTATGGGGGTGGGGAAACTGTACATTAATAACTGAAGATGAACAAAAGCTTCCTTGTATGCTTGATTTTGCTGGCAGAAGTTTTTGTAAGTGCTTGACTAGAAATTTTACTCAAAACTTTCAGTTGAGTGTGTGTACTGTCGTTTAAGACTGACATATTCAATTCTGTTATGGGTTGCTCATGGTAACGTCATGGGAAGGCTTCTGCTGCCTCCATGGAATCCAAGTTCCTCGTTGCTTCAATTCCTCAGCCCATTTTCATTTATTTTAAGTAAATTAAAAGATCAGTAAGTCTTCCTGTGTTCTCCCTTGTCAGGCAGACAAGGGAGCACACAGCTCTCTATTAATGGGAAGGATACTTTACCTGCACTCAGAAATGCCACAAGCATAAATGTATGTAAGGACACTCACAACCATTAGTCACTATGTGAGTCAGCACAAAAGTATTTGCTCTCTTAAAGAGGAAGGGGTTTTTCTGATAATTCAAAATAATTTGACAATGCCACATTAACTCCTTCAGAGAATGGAACAGTGTGCCATGTTGCAAAGAGATGCTTCTGGAACCACCCAGAGTACCTTAAGGGTAAATAATTAAGGTCCTTTTCTTGCGGTGAAAATCAAAGATTAACTACAGAAAATGTGTAACTGTGAGGCACGAGTGAAAGCTTTCCTGAGCAACTCTGAGTTTTCACAAACTTTCTGAGCTCGTCCAGGGGAAGTTTCACTTCTTAATAAAACTTTAGAAAAAAAGAGCTTTCTAGATATAAGTGACTAAGGGGCTTTGTGACTATACTTCTGCCATTCCTTTATAGAAAAACTTAAGATTACAATTGTTTTTTGTTTTTGTTTTTGTTTTTTTTTAAAGAAGACATGAAGTTGGGATGTGTGGGGAGGTAGGGGTGGGTCTGGGACTGGCAAAGGGAGAGTAAGGGATGGATATATTCAAAGTACATTGTATGGAATTCTCAAGAATTAATAAAAATATATTTTAAAAATTAATATTAAAAACAAAACCTGCGACTATTTTCAAGTTGACAAGAGTCCATATGGCTTTGCCTTACTTTATGATAACTAAGTAAATAACCATATGTGCATATTTAGTCCTGGAAACTTGAATCTATTTTTAATATTTCTTTTTAAAAATCTACTTGTATGTACAGAGAATGTTTTATACTTACCACCTATTTAAAATAAAGGAATGGTAATAAGAAGGGAATATTTTTGATATACATTTTAAGTAGGTTTAAGAATATCATTAAGTTAATTTAATTCAATAATGACCCAAATGCCATGGTAATTTTAAGTGTACTTATTTCAATAAACATAAAACATTAGACTAAGAGAGAATTTGGGTCTAACCTTGACCCTAAAGCAATTTCCTGGTCAAAGGCAGGAAGTGACTAGAGTAACATTGCTGCCACAGCAGAGCTCCAGAACGCAGAGGATACTGACACAGAGGATAATGGCACAAATTGTTTTCACCTCCCTGAAGTGTTCTGGCAGTTTCTATGTACTTCTCTATTGGCCTTCATATTGAAATTTAGTGTTTGTAGGGAGAGTGACCTTTGTACATTTACAATTAAATCAGCAGAAAAAGAAAAAAAAAAAGAAAGAAAACTTATAAGAACTCTTTCCTGTGACAACATCATCATTGATTGCATGTTTGACACTAGTTGAAGTTCTTTTTTATAATTGGATATTTTCTTTATTTACATTTCAAATGTTATCCCCTTTCCTGGTTTCCCCTCCAGAAACCCCCTATCTCTTCCTCCCTCCCCTATTTGTAAGTGGGTGCTCCCCTACTTGCCCACCCACTCCCATCACCCTGCCCTGGCATTCCCCGACACTGGAGCATCAAGCCTTCCCAGGACCAAGGGCTTCTCTTCATAATGATGCCCGACAAGGCCATCTCTGCTACATACGTGGCTGAAGCCATGGGTCTCTCCGTGTGTACTCTTTGGTTGGTGGTTTAGTTCCTGGGAGCTCTGAGGGGTCTGGTTGGTTGATATTGTTGTTCCTCCTATGAGTTACAAACCCCTTCAGCTCCTCCAGTCTTTTCTCTAACTCCTCCATTGGGGGCTCGTGCTCAGTACACTGGTTGGCTGCAAACATCGCCTCTGTATTTTCCAGGTTCTGGCAGAGCCTCTCAGGAGACAGCTATATCAGGCTTCTGTCAGCAAGCACTTCTTGGCATCCACAATAGTGTCTGGGTTTGGTATCTGTATGTAGGATGGATCCCCAGGTGGAGCAATCGCTGGATGGCTTTTTCTTCTGTCTCTGCTCCACACTTTGTCTCCATATTTCCTCCCTTGAGTATTTTGTTCCGCCTTCTAAGAAGGACTGATGCAATCACACTTTGGTCTTCCTTCTTCATGTGTTCTGTGAACTATATCTTGAGTATTCCAACTTTTTAGGCTAATATCCACTTTGAGTGCATACCATGTGTGTTCTTTTGAGACTGGGCTACCTCACTTGGGATGATATATTCCTTTTTTCTTTTTTTTTTGAAATATAGGTTTACTTTTTATTTTTATAATACATTGTGCAGTATGACATCTCAAAATAACAAATGCAGAAACAAAACAGTACAAAGGGAGATCAACCACAAATGTCAGAGCGGCTGCCTTCATTAAGGATAAATCCCTGGTTTATATTTTCCACACATTGGAAAAATTACATTCAAATCATTCCTTGTCAGTATTTACTCCTTAGGCCATGAGAGAAGGAAAGCAATCCATACACTAGATTTTCATACAAAGCTAATCTGGGCCAGTCTAAAGACTAACATCCTATTTATTCTGAAGTATGAAAATCTAAGAAATGAAGGTACTTCCTTGCTCGGATTTCCAGAGGACATGTCATTAACCGGTATCACCTGCTCTGTTTCTGAAACAGGATCTCATGTAGCTGATGGTAACCCTGAGCTGCAGATCCTTCTGCTTCCACTTTCTAAATGCTGGGATTCCACCCATCAACATCCATACTGGCTTTCTGCACAGCCAGGGTCTGTGCATGCTAGGTGACACTCTACCAACTGAGCTGTGTTCCCAGCCAATCACAACATCATTTTTGTAAGTAGCTAAGACTTCCCTGGCACGGCAGTTTCCAATCAAAACCAGAGAGAAATAGGAAATTGAATTGGCCCTAATGGCTCTACAATCACATGTAAAACAAGGTTGTTGTTGGCTTTTTGTTTGTTTGTTTAGCATAGCTTAACTTTCCACTGTTTAGGGACTATGTTGAGCATTAGTACATTCATAACCATTAGGATTTACAAAAGCTCAGGATGTACTCTATCCTATCATTACTTACAAGTAGAGAAAATTATAGGATCTCACTGACCTTGAGAATCTCAGTCTAAACTACATGGTGGCATGACATGTGCCTGGGTATAGGCTCTACTGTAAATGTCATGTGTGGAAGTCTTGATAGCACATAGCCCCACTGTCACCAAGTGGCCTTGACACTAACTTAAAACTTGACTCAAATCCAATATTCATCCTTCCATCCTTGCTTCTTTCTTTCTCTTCAAAAAAACATATTTATTTATTTATTGAGACAGTCTCATGTAACTCAGACCAGGCTTAAACTCTAGGTCTTGCTATAGGGTTACAGGTATGTACCAAGTCTCACCAGTCAGTATTTTCAGTCAGCACGCAGATCACAAAGCTCTACTGACCATAGACTACCTTTCATTCCTGAGGAGAAAAAAAAAAAAAAACAGTGAAAAACTGAAAAGATTTAATCTTTTAAGTGCTAGGTGAATTGACCTTCAATGCTGACAAGGGTTCAAACCTTGCATTTTTCCTGCTGTAAACTCAAGTTCAGACTTGAGACTATAGCATTCCTTCCCTCAACCCAAGAATGTGCTTTTATTCCTAAGGAAAATTATTTTTAAGGATTTCTAATAGACACACTTGCCAGCCAACTACAAAAGCCATGCAAAACTGAACATAAAAGACATCACAAACACTCTACATTTGTTCCAATAAGACTATCCAGAAGAGAAATCGGACACACAAACAGCACTGATACGACATCAACACCAACTGCTCGTGCTAAGTGACAAGTCAGTGTCATTCCAGTGTTTACTTTGGGAACATGAAATTCTGTAGTTACATAAAATCAAGACATTCACATTTGAGGTTGGTTGTCACACAGAACATTTTCCTTAAAGGCTTGAGAAGACTACAAGTTAACTAACTTTCTGTGTGGATTTGTAGACTGTGAAATTTAAAGCTATAGCTAAAGAGACAGTACAAAAATTCCATTAGCATGAACATTTAAGATTTAGCAAGCTGCTGTATTTCGGTCACAAGGAAGACTGTTAGGACAAAACTTGTCTGTACACACTTAATAAAACACTGCTCTGATGTCCTTTTCTAAAATGCTCAATGACTTCCTTCCTTCTGATCTCAAAATCAGTTGTCAGTATTTCTTCAGTGTGTATGTATGTATAAAATTTTATTCCAATGCAGAACACAGCTATTTATTAATTGATTAAATATCAGTATACAGTACAATTTCCAGTTTGATACCTACATATATAGCACAGTCATAGATATAATTCTGTGCTCAGATATGAAAATGTAAAAACTGTCAAATACGTTACTTCCTTTCACTGACATAAAAATAGTTGCATCATGAAGAAAAATTTTAATGGTCAACATAGTTTATATGAACTCTTTATCAGAGCAAGGAGTCAAGGCTATCAAATCACCACAATTTAATAAAGTAATTCAGAAAATTCTATCTTCTGTATACTTGTAACTACACTGGAAGCTGAATTCTCATCCACAGAGTCCAAGCTGAAGGGCCGGACTATTTTTTTTTTATTTTCGATTTTTTTTGAGACAAGGTTTCTTTATGCAGACTTGACTAGCCTAGAACTCACTCTGTAGACCAGGCTGGTCTTGAACTCAGAGATCCACTTGCCCCTGTCTCTTGAGTGCTGGGACTAAAGGCGTGCACGTCAATGCCCAGCAAAACTGGTACTTTTAATGGAATATTTTTCAGAATGGAAAGATGCAACCAATAAATTTAAACTTAAAAAGTTGCTCCAAACTAAAGTGGCACCTTTTTTTTCCTTTTCTTTTTTAAGAGAAATATTTCTTTTGACT